AAAAAAAAAAACGTGACCTCTCACACCACCAGCGTCGCCTCAGCGAAGCAGCGCCCGAGTATCGACATCACCGCGGTGGGTTTAAGTCCCCTCAACTCGCCAGGTACCTCGTCACCCCGGCGTCCATCACTCGCCATCTCTCACCTGAGTTCCACGCCAAGCTCCCAAAAGGCCTCACCCCAAGCCACCAGCTCCGCCAACAGCAACTTACAGACGAGCTTGAACAACCCCTTCGTCTACGGCAACGACGTCGACTCGGTCGACGTGGCCACCCGTGTCGCCATGGTCCGGTTCTTCAACTCCCAGAACCTCCTAGCCAACTTCACCGAGCACACGCGCACCCTGAGACTTTACCCGAGGCCTGTCGTCGCCTTCCAAATAAACTCGTTTCTGCGCTCGCGGCCCCGCGCCAGTCAGTTCCTCGACAAGTTCGCCAGGACTCAGGCCGTCGAGTTTCTAGCCGAGTGGTCCCTCACGCCGAGCAACGTGGCCTTCCTCAGAATCCAGACCGGCATCTGCGACCCCAGCCAGATCGGCGACAAGCCCAAGTGGTACGCCCCGACCCTCGAGCCCATCGTCTTCCCGGTCTGGGACTCGGTCAGCTCGCTGGCCAACGCCGTCAAGGCCCTCAGGGAACTCGAGAGCCAGCCGACCGACGAGAGCGGCTCCGATTCCGAGGCCGCCGAGAGCACCAGCTCCTCGTACTCGTCCCTCAGCGACTTTGTCTCCGAGATGGCCAGCAGCGATCTGTCCCCGAGTCAGTATACTCCGTATACAGTGTGCCCCATAGCTTTCAAACATTATGCTCTATACGTGTGGGTGGTATGAATGCAGTGACGCGTAACCTGCCACCAATGTCGTTGTCGATCGACGCCCGGAACGTGTACAACCCGCCGAGTTCGCTGCAGTACCCCGGCGCCGAGGCGGAGACGGAGGAGCGCCCCGAGAGCCCGGCGAGCTCGTCGTCCAGCCACAGCGACCTCAGCAGTCCAAGCCTCAACCGGGACTCTGAGCTGGAGATGGCGGCCAAGGCTGACAACTCCCAGGTGACCGCCTCCACGACCAAGGCTGACAATGTGAGTGGGAGCATGAACTTTTTTTCTTCCATGTTACTTACATGAGCCTATCTAGTTCTCATATTTTTTGATATTTACGATGGACTCGCACTACTGCGCACTCCCCTCATTTTTTCGTCATTTTTCTCTCTCCATTTTTTATTCTCGATACGTACATGTAGAGAACCGATCATTGTCTCTCCGTTACGGAATTAGATTGATTTTTTTTTTTCTTATACATTGGCGTAACATATACTGCATTTGTTACGCACCCATTGAGCATACAATATCAGTCATTCGACATTGCTCATTATGCATAGATGTATACATGCATTGCACCTTTTCACTTGCGGTCATGAAACAACATTATTGCATTGTCCATGCATTTCTCATTTACATATTCAATTATTGACATTTGGTAAATAAATTGGTTGTAATATACAACTTTGTAAAAAATAAAAAATAAAATTTACCGTAAGCATGAGCAACAGGTCATTTCGCGCAAGAGGCGAAAACAGCCGGTACACGCGTGCCTGTAGATGANTTTTAATTTTAACGATTAGTTACAACCACATCCAGATACATGAATAAATACAATTTTTTAATTTAATGGCTTTATGAATGTAAATTTCTCTTTTCCATGGGTAATAATAACCAATACATTGGTTTAGTTTTTACCACATGGAAATTAATTTAGCACAAAATACACAAACTTTAGTTAGAAGTAAGTCAAGTAGATAAAACAAGTGAATGTGTACTTAGCAGTAATAAATGGTATAGTACCTAAACAGCTGATATCAGTGGTTAGCAAAATAGCGTAATTAAGGGGAATGATACAATCCGATATCTGTGTGTTGTTCAGGCGCTGGGCAGCATGTCGATACCCCAACCGAACTTGATGACGCCGCAGAACGCCCCCCAACAATCGCACTCACCGCAGAGCCGGAGGGAGAGCACAGCATCCCATCACTCGACATTGAGGTACACTTTTGCATTCGAAAATTAAATTTTTTTTTTTTTTCATTCACCTTGTATATCTCTCTCGCGTAGCGTCTCGAAACTTACAATTTTCTTCACTGGACCGTTGCACTTTTTAATCAAGATAACAAGTTTGGGGGAAAAAAGGAAGCAGATCTCGGAGAAGAGGAGACGCTTGTTGAAATTAACTTGCAGAGAAAGAGTAAGAGGGAAAAAAAAGGTTGGGTATAGGCAGAGTTGCCCGTGAGATTCGGTATTTGCGCCAGTTAGCTTTGAATGCGCCGCCTTGTCCGTGCTGCTGTTTTTCCACCCGATGGGGAAAAGTTTCGCAAAAGCTCTCCGCTGATGAGCAATATCTGATTACGAGAAGCGGAGCTGATCGCGATGTAACTTCCGTAAGATGAGGAATGGACAAAAAAACCTTGTTTGGTGTTTGAAGAATGTACGCTTTACTTGGATTTTTTTTTTTCACCTGCGCACCTCTGCATCGGAGGGAAATACGTAGTTGGCAAAGTTGTAGTTTCAAACAAGCGAATTTACGCTTTTTTTTTTGCCTCGTGAAACCCAATTGTGAGAGAAAATTTGCTCTTCATAATTTACGTACGAAATTTTTGCTATTTTATTCGAGCGGAATATTGTTTTTCCCGTTGCAGTGAAACCACTGAAGGTTGAAATCGTGGGAAAGGAAAAATTCGTGTCAGCCAATCGAAAGTATGAAATCGAGTGTCGGAGTACGGGTTCCAGACCGCCTGCATTATTAAAGTGGTACAAAGGATCGAAGGAGCTCAGAAACTCATCAAAGGACGTAAGTTATGAAAATTTCCTTTTTACGCGCTGATTGAATTGCCCCGTGAGATTTTCTTTGAACGAAAGCACACGGTTTACATCGAGCCATCTATGCAAACACACATTTTTTTATTAAAACTCCGAGCTCTACATATTTTAATTTGCCAGATTTGCTTTGAAAAAAATAAAATAATTCTTTACTCAATTTTTCTTCGACCATAACAATTTTACATAAAGTTATTTGCTTTCATCAAAAATTTGTGTGTGCAACATGGATTTTAATTGAAAAGGGTTTAACTTCTGAATACTCCATCAAGCAATTTATCCGACTCTTTTTCAAACCATATCCAAATATTCCAAGCACTTGAAATGAAAAAATATATATATTTGTGTTTTTCTGGACCTACACAAGCAAAATTTCGTTCCCAATTTATTATAAATATTAATCAAAAAACGAACGAATGCCTGCTTCCTGAATAAAGNATGTTACTTACATGAGCCTATCTAGTTCTCATATTTTTTGATATTTACGATGGACTCGCACTACTGCGCACTCCCCTCATTTTTTCGTCATTTTTCTCTCTCCATTTTTTATTCTCGATACGTACATGTAGAGAACCGATCATTGTCTCTCCGTTACGGAATTAGATTGATTTTTTTTTTTCTTATACATTGGCGTAACATATACTGCATTTGTTACGCACCCATTGAGCATACAATATCAGTCATTCGACATTGCTCATTATGCATAGATGTATACATGCATTGCACCTTTTCACTTGCGGTCATGAAACAACATTATTGCATTGTCCATGCATTTCTCATTTACATATTCAATTATTGACATTTGGTAAATAAATTGGTTGTAATATACAACTTTGTAAAAAATAAAAAATAAAATTATTTTAAAAATAAGAGCCACGTACGGAGAGGGGCAGCGTTTTAAAGAATTTGAAATATTTGATAAAATTTAATTCATTTGTTTAGACAAAATGCTTTTCTTGCTATTGTCTTAACACTTTTTCACACAAGTTACTGTTGATCTAATTATTTAAAATGAATTAATTACTTTTTTGATTAATAATTAGTAACAATTAAAACTCTGCACACCTCAGGTCCAGTGTAACTCAATAAATTTGGGGATACTAGAGCAGTTGATCTGTATAATAATCAAATTGTATTTTCACTGTATAAAATATTTCGCTACAACTATTATACGATCTCCCTCTTTTTATAATGCTTCTCTTCATGTCGACACCAAGAATGCTTTTGCCAAATAAATATTCCCACTGATTTTTATTCCCTATCAAACTACATAAACGACACTTATAGATAAACAACAATGATATATTGAACTTTGACACTATCAGTGTATTGGCCAAGTTTTCTTAACAAAGTAGAAAAAGTGCAAGTGTGCAACAGAACAAGATAGCATTTAAAAGTACGTAAAAAACAAGGAGGGGTGCTCAGGCGATCCGGACTTAAAAACGAAAAAAATGTATGATAATTGTACTAATGATGATGCATATAACATGTAACAATTGGCGCTGCTGCTGGGACAAACGCAAAACATGCGCGTGAATGGTGTGGCGATGAAAAACAAAACAAAAACTAACAAAAAAACGAAAACTGAAATTGAGAAAAACAGGATAAAACGGAGGGCGGTCTTAGTAACGAGTCAGACTCGGCCTCGACGACCACGACACCTCGCACGATTCTCAGCGCACAAAACGTTCCCCTGAGCCAGCTCGGGATCGATCTTCCCCGACGGCGCTCCTCTCGGTCCATCACTCCAGTGAGTCATCGAGCGACTGTCGTCTGCCTGTCTTATCTGTCTAATTTTTCTTGTAATCCCAACCACCCATAATTTTGTATTTATAATGTGTATATTACTACTGGTATCTTTGAACAATTTTGTTTGTACTGTCACCTTCTAAAGCTTTTACTTTTTTTTTTTTTTTTTTTTTTAACGATTCTGTGAGAGATTTTACAGAGATTTACAGAGCTAAACGTAAAAATCTCGATAGTCACAACGATAGTCCGATAATTTTTCCAAAAAATCTTGCGCACAAGCATCAACCTTTTGATTGATTTTATCTGGAATTTAAATACTTATGTTACTTCTAAAACTTAAATTCGAATGTCTTAATTTTTTTAAGAATTCCTGGAAAAAAAAAATTCGTGATAACTCCCTGCAGTTCTTAATATACTTTTACTTGAATTTTATGATAAAAACTTTATTAAAATTCTTTTAAATCTTCGAAAAAACTTGTTTTTATTCGATAATAAATCGTTAATTGAATGGTAAAATGATTTGAGTTAAATTTTTATTTT